AGGAAGCCACAACCACGTGTCACGGGAGGGAAAATGGCCGCGGATCCTGTTCGTCACCCGATGCGGAGTTTGCGGACGGAAGCAAATTTTGCGAACAGTGCTGTTCGTGACCCGAATTGGTCGTGAACAGAAGCGTTCGTGACCCGAAGTACCACTGTACCATAGGAGAATGCTAATTATTTATTAAAATATTCACTCATGAGCCATACTTTGAGACAAGCACTCTGGGTACATAACATGCAGACTTTTTAGAAGCACAATGTATTTCTTTTCTAAGGCTTATTTACATTAGAGGTGCCTAGGGTGGTGGTGGTGTCAGTAAAATGGAGAGATGGGCAGCATATAAATTTAATAAATAAATAAAATAAAGTCAGGATGTTGCGGTGACTGGGACTGTGCAATCAAAGCCCTGCTGCTTTTTATGAGTGTTTATCTTAACCAAAGGCAGTTAAATTATTGCTTATATTTAACAGGACAGGCACAGTACTGACAGAGCAATTATTTGATTACTTTTCCCTGGTTAGACAGTTAGAATAGTCCTTCAGATTTGGGGAAGGTGGTCAGTAGAATTCCAGCTTACAGTTTTGAATGGGTATAGCCACCACCTGTATTGCCTGGGAGTTGTAGTTCCAACTCAAAAAAGGGTAGATTCAAAGAGTAGATTCTGCAATTGTAGTCCACTCAGTAAATGTTTAGAAATGTGGGAACGACCCAGTTACACAAACACCCTTTCCCTACATTTTCAATTTTAGGAGCATGGGAGTTCATGTTTCTTGGCAAATAATAATTATAGTTGCCTTCTCATCCCTTCTGTCTTAAAAGACACTTAAGTTAAATTATGTACAAAAATATCACCCCAAACTATTTATTATTTCTTGGTTTATTTTAGGTACCCTGTGCCATAATAGTAAAAATTATAAGCACAAACTTGCTAGTCAAGAAAGTTCTTATACAGAGATCTCATAATATTAAGAGACTAGGGGTTAATCTATAATCCAGAGAAATCCTACTTTTAGATACTCTTATTTACATTTTGGGAGGGATAGAGGGTTGCTTATATGAGAACATAGTTATACTTAGCACAGTCCATGTGGATTCACAGTAACTGCATTTGAAATCTGTTCATTACTGTCAGTTTTCTGAATTTTAGTACTCACGTTGCTACTTATAGTGTTGCTATAAGTTTCAGTGAACCACTTTTCAGTCACTGATGAAATTTTGCCAATCAGCTGATGGAAGTGAATGCAAGGAAGCTGTGGTGGAAGCAGTAAGTGGGTTGTCATTTGGCCAGCTGATCTTCACTGACTGCGAGGAGGCTGTGGCGAACCACTTGATGGAACTCTCTGGACTACTGGTGGGCTGTGGATCCTGATTTGAGACTCACTGGATTAAAACAAAGCTGGCTGTAATTAATATATCATATTGGTTGTATTGTTAAACTGGGAGTGAGAAATCCTTGTAAATCAGGATGTTATCCAGAGATCTGATGTTATATTCTGATTTACTTTATACTCACCTTACTCTAGATAGTTGGTAGGTATGAACTGGCTTTCAGGATTTATAGTACACCATCTTACTGGAAAAGGCAGTATTGTAAACATTGAAATAAAAGTACTTTGAATGCAAATCTAATTTCCAGCCATGGCTGCTTGCTGAGGTTTTACCTTGTTTTTCAGGCTGTGCACTTTTTCTTGATTTGTACAAATCTGACAATGAAACTTCTTCAGGGCAGGCACATGTTGAAGAGAAAGAGACAGGTAAAAATGCAATAAAGATGAGTTCCATTTTTCCAGGATGGCTTTGAGATCTCTAGCAATATATGGGGATATGTAGTTTTCCACATGTGTACCACCTGGATATTAGAGTCTTGAATCTCCAGTCTTGGCATTGTGTTCTATCCAGCTGTTCTGGCCACAAATATAGGTATTCGATAGATGTACATTAATACAGATGAAGAACCTTGTCATCCTACTCTCTTAGGATTCCTGTCTCACTTTTATTTCTTTCAGGGCTCAATTTTGTTCATATTGGTGCAAAGGAATTCACTGTACCATGCAAGCCTGCGAAGACAGATGTTGTGATTGGTATGAATCCTATATACAACTGGAGCCTGGAAAATAGAGGTTAGGCTTTGTTGCTCAGGGCTGAAGATTTCTTTGTAGATGCCAGGGACAGATATGTGATGAAGGAAATATCAATTTTTTCTTGTGGAGGTATCTATGAGTATGTTCTGGCTTCCAGTGTTTCTTTAGACTACTCAGCCTCAGAACCATAAGATAGCAGATTTTTGGAGAGCTGAACTCAATATTTTCTAAATATTTTATGGTAGGAATGAATTCCAAGTGCCTTGTATGTAGCTATAGTTTAAAGCAGCAATAGATAAGCTGATGTCCTTCAGATATTTTGGTCTGCAACTCTTAAGATATCTAATGATTGGTCATGCTGGGTAGGTCTTCTGGAGATCAGAATATCTGGAGGGTTCTCTTTTAAGACTCTTGAAAGAAGACTTTGGATTTGAACTTGCTATGTTAACTTAGAACATAAAGTTCCTTCTAGTTTAAACAAGTAATCAAGAATTGACTATAAATATAAATTACAGATGGCATTACACTCCCTTAAAATTATATTATATAAACAGGCTTTTTGGTTTGCATTGGAGGTGTTATATTCAATCTCTCCAGCACAATATTACTACTTCTGGATAATACACACTTAGTTACTCAACCTGGACAAAAGCTTTTGAGGACATGGAAACATCGCACAACAACCTTTAGTATATTTTCTAGTCAATTTTATTGTCTGTAAAATGTGCAGCATAACAATTTACTTGTTATTAACTGCAAATTTACTGTAGCAAAACATATAAGTACACTGTCAGGTTTCTCCATGAAAACAAATAAACAGGCACTCAAGGATAACTTCAGATAAGTAGATCTACTGCATGAAAGAATTACTGCAAATGCTATGTATCAGATGAGAGCCCTATTTATGGTGCATTCAAAGTTCATATATTGCTCTTGTTTCTCCCATATCTGTAATCTAACAGGCTAGAAGCTATTCTGTTTGGATGGGAGTGATGGTTTCTGCCTGTCTCTTATTTTGATAATAGATGGATCAGGTACCAGGCTGTTTGCTTGTACTGTATAACAACTTGTTCTCACATATGCTTTTCTTTGCATCAGTACAGTTTAAAAGTGTGGAATATAATATTGGCTGAAAAAGTAAACAGAAGAAAGAGTCTTGAAGAATTCTTTAATTAAAGTTTGTTATACTTGCAATTGGTTCCAAATGTTTAGTTATATTAACAAAATAATTCCCAATAGATTATCTTCATCTGTATATACATCTTTTTCTGAGCAGAAATACTGAATATAGATGTTTAAAATGTTGTATCTCTTCATAAGATTACAAATGTACAATTGCAAATGTATTTATATTTCTCTGAAATCATTATTGCATAGTATTTTTATTCTTTGTTATATTCCTTTCAATGTGTTGTTAATGTGTTGCTTGTTTAAACATATAACTTTAAATAACTGGAGGGGACAGAGTTTGTTTACTTCTTCCTTATACAAAAGCGTGAGCTGTATAGTGTTTGATATGCTAATAGTTATGTGTGTCTGAACATACACACAGACACAAATTACAGTCTGGAGAAACAAATTCAGCCTGTCAAGCCAATTTCTGTCTCCTGGATCCACATCTTAAGAAGTACTGATGGCTCAGTGCTGTAATCACATTGCTAAACTTACTAATGGGCTGCTGCATTAGCTTTTGTGGCTGTCCCAGATGCTACTAATTGCAGGTCAACATTGGCCAGCCAGCATGACTGGCTGGGGAATTCTGAGACTTGGGAACATCTTAAAGTTCCCAAGTTTGAGAAACACTGGTCTAGATGGTGGATTGAGACAGTGAGGCAGGTAGATTTACTTAAGGTAAGGCCACCATATCTGGCTGCAAAAAAATTACACAAGGACTAGATGGCACTAAGAGATACAGAAAATTCTAACTCTACTGCCATTTAGTGGTCCTCCAGATTTTTGCAGTCCAAGTAGTCCTAATTAATTGGCTCTTATCCACCCACAAACACACAATTTGAGCCCCAAGACAAATCTGCAAATGTGCTTCTCAACTTCCCAGGTAAAAAGCCAAGTTGATCAGAATAATAATAATAATAATAATAATAATAATAATTATTATTATTATTATTATTATTAATCTAGGCAGTTCAGCAGATTATGCTGTTGGCTCATTCTAGTATGCATTTTATAATACAGAAAATATTGCAACAGCTGCTTTGACTGACAATACTGAGTGTAACAATGCATTGACATAACTATTTTTTTCTAATTGAATTGGGACACATACATTTTTACATCTTTAAGATCCTTGACTCTGGAAAGTAATAACTGGAGTTAGTTGTGAGAGATCCTGACATTCCCAAACACAAAACCTGGGTGTAAAGCAGTGATGCTGACTTGATTAATTTTAAATACAAACTGCATGAGGTATGCTTTTTGAGTGAAAGCATGGTATGAAAAAGTGAGGTTAAAAAGGAAGGATTTTATGTGGATAGTTATAAAATCAAGAGAAATTAAGTTTCAAGGTTGCATGAACTGGGCAAGAGAGAGAGACCAAGTTTAGAGTCAGAGAAGATCCATTTCCAGAGGGAACTGTTAAAAAGGCTGGGATTTCTACTTTAGTGCAGGTGCTTAATCAGTTTGGCTGACTAAGATGAAGTTGCCATTTTCAAAGGATATGACTTTGCTATCTGCTTTTCAGAAAGCCCATCCCTCCAAGCTGGTGCCTCCCTGATTCTGCATGAATTTCATGCTGAGGAGAGTGGGCGCTATACCTGTTCCATCTCTTTCACAAAGGAAGACCAGCTCCATACTGTGACTTTCTCTCATACGGTGGTGGGTGAGTGTATCCTTGCTGTTCTGAAGGATGGGCAAACAACGAAGCCAATGCTATGGATGCTTGATAAGAGAATGACACTGATTTGATTTATTTGATTATGTGGGGAGATTGTGGAAGAAAATGTCTTTAGGGAGAAATGCGAAGGAAACAGTTTGTCCATCACTGGATCCTGTAGCTAAACAACATATCTTTTCGATTTTCTATTAATTCATTATTTTTTCCAAAATTTAGAGTTTGATTTTCTCTCCCTGATTCCTATGATTTAGAGGATACCAAAATATTTTGATTCCCTATCTTTGTAGTGGAAATTAAATTTTAGATGCCACTAATTTTGTTCCTTTCCTCAGGTTATCACATACGTGGAGAATTACAGGTCCTCCTGATTTTTCAGAGCCACTCCTGTGATAAGTCATTGACGCATGAGTTTGTGAAGATCCTACATGCACAGCTGAGTCAACTGGTATCTCACCTACACTGTGAGCTTCTTTCTGGGAGTACCAATTGCTTTCCTACTGTGGAGAAACCGTTGGATGAGTTCAATCTCCAAGTAGAGCTAAAAGGTCAGAAGCAAAAAAGACATGGTTTGGAGGCTGACAGAGGAAATCAGGAAGATTGGTTTCAGTTGTACTTTGGGAAGAAAGTGAAGTTTAGAGTAGCAAAAATTCATGCAGAAAAGCAGACTTTACTACTTTAAAGTTGGCTATCAAAACTTTACCACTGAACATTGCCTGAAATCACTGTCTGTTCAGTGATCCATAATAGATTTTGCGTGAGTTGTTTTTCTGGAGTAGTGGAAATGCACTTTTTGAGGGGCAAGGGCTATCATGTAAATGTATTATGAAGTGGAGAAATGTGTAAAGTTTAGTTTACAGTTAAAGTTACTGTAATTTTCATGCTGCATGCATCTGATGAAGAACACGTAGCATATTATTATTAATTTTATTTTTATAATGGTCTTCTTCTCCAAAGATCTTAGAACACTGTCCAAAAAGAGATTACGATGATGTTTTGTATATTACTATTTTGCAGTATTTCAGGATGTTTGGACTCTGTGGTGGTAAAAGAGAAAATCTAATGGTTAAGGCAGACCACAAGAACAGTAATGTATTTTTGTTTTCCAGTAACTCCATTTGGGAAAGGCTGGGATAAATCCTGCTATCCCCAGGTTGATTTGATGGCATTAGAATGTTACCGCTCAGCTGTTCAGAATAATCTACAGCAGGTATGTAATTTGTCCTATTGGAAAATTACTTGCTGGGTTTTGTGGCTAGTTATATTTTCATCAAATGCCTGCTCTGAAGCTTACTTTTCAAAATGCAACAAGAGTTTTTATATAATTGGATCAACCACATCTGGCAAAGATCAAAGGATGCATAGCTTTTTTATTCTATTCTTATCACTCCATTTGCACCTAATCACAATCTGTGAATATGTATGCATTTTGTATCCACAAACTAGCAGTTGATAGCTAATTGACTTATAATGGTGGGGCTATTTACTGTGGGGCAGGAATCAAGAACATCAAACAGCAAGTCTGTGAGGGAGTTAATGGCTGCTTTTATTCACAAGACATTTGCTATACAGTTAACCAAGTTTTACCTACTCACTTTTATGGAGTATACATGACATCACCAGCAATTGATGCCCTCCTGAGTTTTCCCTTCTACTTATTGTTTAATTTCTTTTTTCCACTACACATATGCACAAACATACTGTCATGAATGTTCATAGGATAAGTGATAATCTGTTCCACATTGTGGCTCCTAAATTTCCCTTTTCTGAACGCTTGACCCTTTTCTCTATAGGCTAAGGAAGCTATGACTGAATTTATGGATAAGAATAAACATTTTCCCCTGAGAACATCAAATGGTTCCCATGTTTCTTTTGTCAACACTTTTTTCAATTTCTTGGAAGATGGAAAGTGCCAGGATGGTTATGGACAGACACAGGAGCTACAGGCACACTGTCCCGACTGCTGTAGTGAGTGGAGCAGGTGATCCAAAAGCTACTGCCTCATCCGTCTTCAGACACTGTCTTTGGCCCCATAGACTGCTGTTTCTCTTTATGCCCTGGGAAGTCTTTTACCCATTCTGTCTCTATCCCTTTGCCTTGTCTTTTGCATAGAATGTTTTCTGTAGCTCTGTCAAGTGCATCTTGGAATCCATGCAGATTCCATCCAAATATAGGGACTTATCTATTTAGCACCCTGCACTGAGCATGATTCCTCCAAATCAAGGAGACTCTTTTTTTTTTTTTTATTGTTTGGAAAAGCTCAGATCTGGGAAAAAAATATTTTTGGTAGGGACTGCCCTTATGTGATAAACTTTGAAATTCCTCTTCTCCCCTCCCCACAGATTAGCTTAATGGAGAAATGACATATGTTCTTTTCACTTTACCCTTCCTTCTTTTCCTTTATCTGTCATTTTCCTGGACAGCTTTGTGCCCTCCTGGAACATACAGTGTGGCCACCACTGACAGCTGTGTTCTCTGTCCAATTGGGAGCTATAGCTTGCACTATGGGACAACCCTTTGCATTTCATGCCCCAACAGTTGGCTTACCTCACACCCTGGCGCCAGAACATCTGCAGACTGCATGAATATGAAAGGTATGTGTTGGACTGGATATTTCCTTAGAGTCCCATTTTAGGCGGGAATTATTGGGCAGCCAGGTTTTGATTATTTTTTTAATACAAATACTATCTTTAGAAGGATTTTTCAGGACTACAGTATGAAAAGAAAGGGTTCAATTTTTTTTCTCTTGTTTCAGTTACAATCATGAGCAAACCCCATAGCCCTACTAACATTATTTATACTTGTTAAGAACTCCATGCTAAATGCATAAATACAGTTAACATTGGGTCTTGTTTGGCGTCCCACTGTTCTTCCATGGTGTAAATTGGAGGAAGCGATGAGATATTACACAAGTCTGTGAGGATGGTTATGGAGCTATCTAAGAATTAGAATTTCCAAGATTCTAACCTTTTTTGTAATTATGTTTGTAGATAAATATGAACATCTAGTTTTCCAGAATTTAATCACTGTCCTAGCTGGGAATCCTGGCAGTTGTAGTCTTAACACATGTGGAGAGCACTAGATTTGGGAAGGTTTAGTAGTAAAGTAAAATGTAGTAAGTGAAAATGAAAAAGTGGTAAGTGAATATATAACAATGCATGTAGATTTAGTGCCTGGTCCCAACATTTATGTACCCTAGTTTCCTGTTTTCCTTCTTCCTATAATACCTAATAGTGATAGGTGCTATAACTGTATGGGAGGCTTGACTTTGGATGCTGAGGAACCCTTATCTATTTTCATACAGTCCCTCCTTCACATCGATTTTCCGTACTGATGGTAGCCTTTTCCGTGCCTCCACTTGGTTGCCTCTGTCTCATTGTGATGTAAGTTCTGAGTATTCTCATTTCCTATCTAATTTCACTCTTGTAAAATTTGGTAGGCCAGATAGATTTATGGATGGGTAATTGGGTTAAGTAATCAGTCTAAAGAAGGATTATGAGAGTCTCTGAGGGGTGACAGTAGCTTTACAGCAATCGTATATTTCAAAAGTGAATATAAGCCCGAGGAGATTCCCCTCTACTGGAGCTTATATCTGCAGCTTCAGTCCTGTACATCCTTGTTTTCTGTGACCAGATGTGATGGACTGGAATGGAGGAAGGGGGGTGAAAATGGTGCTCTCGTCTCCAGAGCAACGCTCTGGAAATAAGCGGAGAAAGCTGGCGCA